AGATAGATAGATAGATAGATAGATAGATAGATAGATAGATAGATAGACAGACAGACAGATGATAGATATGCTCAAAGGAAGAGCTGATGGGAACAGGAGAAAAATCAGTATTTCTTGGAGTAGTGAGAAGAAACCACTACAAAATGATTGTTTCACTAATGTATTCATACATTAATTCAGTATTTGTCTGCAACATTCCAGGCACTGTTGGGGTTTGAAGGTGTTCAAGTAAGTCTGAAAGGCATAGTGTTTACTGACAGGCAACTCATACTCAGGAGGGTAAGCCTATGAAAAGCCAGCAGATTTCAACGTGGTCTAGGGACCAATGTCGCCTTAACAGTTTTGTGATAGCTGCTGTCTTTTGCTCTCTGTGGTTCAGAATAGGAAAAATGTCACACTTGCTCCCGTTTCACTCTGAATACCTCACCTTTATCAGTACTTAAAAAGGAAATAGCAATGCCCACATTTCACTTTTTCCATGTCTAATAAACAGAAAAACATATTGTTCATACTATAAAAGACAATGCCAAAGTATTCATTTTAATTAGTGCGGGTAAATACTAGTAGGCAGTATCCACTACTTACCAATGCTTAATTTAGAGAAAGAGTAAAAGGTAATCCAAATATCTAGCTAAAGTAAAAATCTCATTAACCTTTGGTGTTACTGGTTCATCATTACTATTCATTTTGGCCTCTGTTTGAATGCTTTCCAGGAAATTGACTGACCTCAACCAGTTGTGTGGGGTCTGGTTTCCTGCTCTTATACACAGCTTCAACTTGCTTTGGATTATAAAGCAGGTTTTCTAATAACAATTGCTATTATTAAAAGTAATGAGAATATTTTTTTAAAGACCAATGCTGACAAGTAACTGTTTCCAACCTGCTGTTATCTCTACAGAAAAGACTGTGGGTGCCTCTCTTCAGTTAAAGTTGCATCAATAAACACACACCTAATGACTACCAGGAGCTTTCCAGACACAAAGGTGAGCAAATCACAGTCCATTTCTTCAATGAGCTTATAATGTGTAACTGATTCCAAAAAGTTTGAGAAGAGCAGCAACTGACAGGTCAAAGAAAATTATCATCTTGTGCCCAAATAGGCTTCCAAATTATCCATGTGCTAAGGATGCTTCATTAAGTTACTCATTTTTCTCTAATTCTAACAGCTCAGCCAGGGCACAGGGAGAGGAAGGAGAACAGTTCTTTGATTGTATGACTCACACAAAATTATGCTTCTACACTGACAATGAATTCATTTCTCTTTATCATCAAGCAACTTCCTTTAGCTTCCTCTATCAAGGGATAAGCAGTCACTGAAAAAAATAAATCACAGCCCACCTTTTTCCGGCTCTCTGTCTTACACAGATGGCAAAACACAGCCACACTTATTAATGGCATGTGTATGTTTGTATGCGGTTGATATATGTAATTTGTTATATATCATACATACCATATCATAAATATGCATATATATATATATATATGCCCAACCTGATAACTTCAAACATAGCTCCATATATTAGCCTGTACATTCAAAAGAAAAAGTTCAAGAACTCTCAGTCATCAAACCAACTAAAATAAGTACATCCGACTGGCTTCAATACAATATAAAAGCACCGTGTTATTTTCTAAACATAACATTTGTATACGAGTCCTACCTCTTGAGTTTCCACACTGCTTAATGGTCTGACAGGACTTTTTCACCCTCTGAGAAATTTGCTCTTAGTATTTTCATAAATTGGCTGTGTATATTTTCCCTTGAGAGAGAGAGATGATAATAGACTCACACTGAAAATCCTTCAGCCACTTTTCATAAGAGACCAATGAAGAAGCATCAGGAATAAATGTCCCCTGGAGCCCACATCGTTTGCGAAGGAAACGTACCCATATGCTGTCTTCTTGTCTGTATTGCTTCCAGTTCCTTCCACTGTCGCTGAACATCAGGAGATAGCTGGTCACCCAGTTGGAGCTCCCATATCCACCTTGGGTGGCCACGGATGTGACCTCCATCCTCTCTCCGAGGTCAATCTGCAGCCACTGGTATTTGTTGGACACAAGTGGAGACCAGCCACCAGCTCCTTTAGCAAAAAAATAAAATGAATAAAATAGAACATGGGGAAAGAACACATTAAAAGCCCATGAATGAAGCAGAAATGACAGTGTGGAATTCCGAAAGATTTCCAGGATTTGGAATACTTCATAATTATAGTGAAACATAGGAAAGCAGAAATATTGTAGACAAGGTTAGCCTTCTGCTGGTTGTGTTCATTTAGAGGTGTTTAGACGTTTCCCAGCACTGGAGAAAAATAGGATCTATCATTGAATATTTTTCTAAGTGTTTTGTGTGGAAGGTTATGCCAGCATTTGGTGCCAGAGAGTTTACTGTCCACAGGCTGGGTAATAATGTGTGGCCTTTGATCTCTCTCTGCCCAGAGACAAAATCTAAAGAAAAAGTTTTGGTGTTGACAGCTATAACAAACTGAGCTTAGCCATGTCTTAGTCCATCGTTAACTCTTGGATAACAAAGCTGGTCAAGGTGTTTACAGGCTTACGAGAGGGGAAGATATTGAAAAACATGTATAAAACATAACCCCAAAAAATCATTAATGGGAAGACATTGTGCAGGAAACTATAGCTTGAGAAGTGATGGACAGTTCTATGCAGTGGGAGGCGTGGATTGGGTTTGCAGCCATGTAAGAGGAGATGGCTGCCACTCCAAAATAAGAGGAAGCTGCCAGGCAGGGTCTCTTGGAATAGCGCCATTCCAGGACAGCTTAACAAGCTGGAGCCATAAGAGAAAGTGTATATGTGGCATGGGGGGACAAGTTCACTAGGTCTTATGAGCTTCCTGTGAACTGATTAAATGAATAATTCTTTTAGAAGAAATTCTAGACTGTGTGAGCTGCAAATGTTGCTGACCCAGATGGTTAGAACCCAATAACAGAATGGCTTGGGGCATAACCAGAATCAGTTACTCTAGGCAAACGGACTGGTCATGTATCAAGGCGCCTAAACCGACTCAAGAATAGCATTTAAAAAGTTGTAGTGAAGTCCTCTATTAGTGGTTTCTTGATAACTCTTGCTTGTCTTAGGATGTGATGTTCAGTATTTACTACACTGTACTATCGTTAGAGCTAGATAACTTGGGGATCAGAAAGATGGCTCAGTCATCCTTTCACAGACCCAGGATGTTTATACAGCATTACATTTTGTTGGCATGATATCTTTTGTTAATTTTCTCTGTACTTACTCTTAAAGAACACATATGACTTGGGAACTGGGAGATGTCTCATTAGTTAGAACAATTGCCACACAAATATGAGGACCTGAGTTCCAATCCATACAAATCCAGGAGTGGTAGCCCAGTTTTGTAAGTCTAAGACTTCAAAGACAAGAGAGAAGAAACTTCCTACAAGCTTACAGGACAGCTAGTCCACTGTTTGAAGTATTGAACAAGAGACCCCACCTCAAGAAAAGTGGAAGGTGAGGACCAGCATTGAGGTTGTCTTCTGACCTCTACATGTACACCGTGGAATATGCATACCCCCACACACACAAATGCACACACACACCATATACACAATTAACTAATATATTTTAAAACATGACTTATGTATAGAGTTATCTTGGCCCTTAATCCCAGCAAACCTTGTTTAGATGTGAGCAAAAGAGAGCCAGAGAGCTTGTCAGGTAGACATGGGCTATGTTGAACTTGGGATGGCCCAGAGCTGCCCATCTGGCACTGCTGTCTGCTGTCCACAAGAGCTACACCTAATCTCATAGTCTATTCTACATATTAGTTATTCTGGGAAGAGCTGCAGCACGCCCTCTGTAGATTCCTACCACAGACATCTCAGTGAACACTTGAACCCTCTGTGGGAACTATTCCTGTCACCGCATTTTTATATCTGAGCCAGCACTTTCTCAATACTTCATTTCCTGGGATCCGATGAGGAGGATCAACTGTCACCAGAGACAATACGGGTACCTCTGCTTGTCAGATATGACAGTAAGAATCTGTAGTTCCCAGAAAACATGAAAATGAAGATCAGAAATCTTTAGCTTTCAGGCTGCTGCAGCAACCTCCCTCCCTGATTACAATGGACCATGTTATTTGTTTGTTTGTTTGTTTGTTTGTTTTGTTTTGTTTTGTTTTAATATAGGTGCATGATGGGAACAATGAATGGGTGAGTATTTCCACCCACTCTTCCATCTGATCTCTCCTCCTCAGGGCTTATCAAAAGCTTGGAAGTTGAAAGTCTTTATAGAGCTGGATTTAACCAAGCATCTTGGTTCCTCTTATGGCTGTAATTGCAAAGCCTTCTAAATTTTTATCATTTTTCACAGTGAAAACTTAGGAAAGAGGGTTGCCCCACAGGCATCTACCATCTTAGCTTGGAAGTTCTGCACGCAGAATTTTATCTCTATTAGCTTATACCTCCAAGAAAATGCTGACTATTTTGCTTCTTGCTCTTTCTAGTTAATTTTAATGATCTGAAATCTATAATGAGGTTATGTTGGGAGTTTTGGTTTTTGTTTTTTGTTTTTTTTTTTTCATCAGGAAAATGACAGTGATTCTATGGCATTTTGGGACAGCTTTACAATCCTGTACTTGGAAAACAAACAAGAGAGATGTAAAGCAAGGAAAAAGTGTCAGTAAGATCCGAGTGGGTTAAAACTGGATCATCAGTTCTCATCAGGAGTGAGAGGGACCCCTGAATGACCACTGCCTCTTCCCGGCACCGCTCACAGTTACAGCCCCAAAAGCTGACTTGAAACATTGGCAGTTAATTGACCTTGAACATTTCAATTTCTTACCTGTGGAGAAAAGGTACTACTGGTATGCAAATTAAGCTATCTCATTAACAAGGTACACTGATAAAGTAATGGAAACTTTGATGCTCCCAGGCTTTACCAAGTAATTTCAGTAGGATAAGTCAGCCACGGGGGATAGAAAGATTCCCGTTGGGTTTTAAGCTTCGAGGCTCTGCAGTGCTATATGATGGAATGTGCTTGTTAGAACTTTAAGAAAAATGTTGAGTAGCAACGGGGAAAATGTAAGATAGAAATGGATCTATCACTAGTGATCTTAGCAGCCTTTGATCTCAGGGAGGGACAATGGTGGCATGAGATACAAATGGCACCTCAGCTGAGGGTCACACTGCAGCAGCTCTCTGGTCATTGCCCATCTATCTAGCCTCCTGGAGACAAACCATCAGCACAGCTACTTTTTGTAATGGAGGACATGATGGCTAACTCTAGGAAATTGAAAAGTCTGAATCACTATAAATAAAACACTATAATGAATTCTTTCTTTTGTTTATTAACTAAACCTTTCAGCTGCTAGTCAAGTGTTATTTGTCCTTAATGTGCTTTTAATATGCTAATATATTCAACATCACAGTAAGCCAATACCTATGAAACTAAAGACCATCTTGTTCTAACTCATCTATTCTGGTTACTGAGGTTGACCTGCCAAACAGTCTTGTCCCTCCATCGTGTTCTCTTTCCACATCACGTGCTTTCTTCCCCAACACCATCCCTCTGTTTTTTTCAGCCTTTTCCCTGGCTACTGAGATTTAGCATAATAAAGTGCCACATATGTTTCAAAAAGAAGCATATCTCTTCTATTTCTTTTTTAAAATATTTACTGTGTGTATGTGTGCCTGACTGTATGTCTGTATATCAAATACATGTAGGTAATTGTAGAGGTCAAAAAATGGAGCTGGCTTTACAGGATATTGGGAGCCACCAGATGTGGGCACTAGACCCAAAGCTGGGTCCTATAGCAAGCACTGTTAACCATGGAGCCATCTCTGCAGCTCCTAGAAACATTTCTGAACTCCATACATCAGCTTGGAAACTCATATTTTTTCAAGGTCAGCTCCCCCTCCCTTAATAGGATTTCTAAACATTATAGTACTGCCATGAGAATTCAATTTTTTAAAGCACATGAAGAACCTATTGATTTCCCCACGTTCAGAAACTGTGACAGTATAAGCCGGCTGTAACTTTCTGAGTTGCGAAACTGTTGTTATCGCTATTGACTCCAAGCGAAGAGTTGTCATCACAATAAAGCTGAGTTTTAAAAATGTTTACTGACCTCACAAATCTATGGGTATAAACATAAATATGTACAAGGCAGTTTGCTCTCAATCTTGGTATTCTTTTTGCAGTGGGTAGAGTTAAGACAGGCCCTCATAACTGACTAGAGTGCTAAGATTAAACTACTGTGAGGGCTCAGCTGTAGACGGAACATCTTTATGAACCACCATCCGTGATGCTCAGGGAACTCTATGGCAGATATAAAGCTTACGCTGGAGGACGGGGATGTGCTAGGAAATGCTGTCTCCTGGACACAACATGGCTGCTGTACATAGTGCTCTCGGCAGCTGTGTTTACCTGTCTGTGCAAGACCTACGTAGGAACAACACAATTAAAAACTTCCAGTGTGAGGCAGGGAGGGGATCCTGCTGCCCCACACCAACCTGAGGGACTACTGGCAGTGGATGTCTTGCTGGTGTAGGAGAGTTACTTTTCTTTGCTAGTATAGCCATTGATACACCCCTATACTCCAGTGGACAGCCTTACACCCATGTCCATGAGGGCAGCCTTAACTGGACTTAGCAGTTTTAAGAGAACAGTGGTACTAGTGGTCCATAAGGAATTAGAGGTGAGAAAACAGAGTTGTGGATATGATCAAGATACATTTCCTACAAGAAATTTTAATATATGACTATTATCTACAATAAAACATTTTGTTTTAAGGAAACATTCCCTGCTTACTGCTTACAATCTTACTAGCCCTTTTCCCACTATGATCCCTGAAGCCTTGGAAGGAAAAGATGGAATATGGATTTTCCATTTAGGGCAGAGTGCTCTAAAGTCTCTCTTCTCTACGCCTTGAGCAGCTGAGGGTCTCTCTTTTAATTGCCATCTATTGTGAAAATAAAGCTTCATCAGTGATGGCTGAAAAGTATACTAGCAAGTCTATGGGCACAGCAATAAGTCATTAGGAGTTGGCTGAATAAAACAGCATCTTCCAGACCCAACACAGTTATTGCTCACATGACCTCAC